CGGTACCCACTGCCTCCAGAGTCTGGCCGAGCAGGCCTGGCCGAGCACAGCGCACAGCCCAACCGTAACTGTATTATATGGATCAAGTTTAAGGTGTCCCCCCAAACTTGTGTGTGTGTGCGTGCACACAGCACCGTCGCCTCACCCCGCACCTCCAAGTTATCGTGCAACTCGCCGGTTTCCGTCCCGTGGGCGGGCCGGCGAGACCCGACGGGGTAGGACTGCCGCCTCGGCGGCTCGGGATCGGACCCCAGCTCCCTCCCGCCCTCTCTCTCTCTCTCTCTCTCTCTCTCTTCCTCTGCCTCTCTCCATCCACCACTCCCACCCTCTTACAGCCGTCGGCTCTCGGGAAGGGGAAACCTTTACTAGCTTCCCGATACGGACGTGGTGGTGGGGAGAGGGGGGGGGGCTCTCTCCATTGTTATGAGTTGGACCGGCAGCAGGCCAAGCACTCTCTTGTAGTCGCCTCTCCCCCGGCCGGCGAGAGTCTCTTCTTTTGCGACCCAATTCAAAATTTGCCAAAGGGAAAGCCGCGCCCTCTTCCTTCACGCCCTTCCGCACTTCGCGCACGCACAGGGTTGGCCGCGCACTGCGCATTCTGGAGTGGCGCAGTGGCGCTTTAACAACACAAAGAACATAGACAAAATACGAAAGAGTGTGTAAAGGCGTCGCTTGTTACACACTGATTGCTCGAAAGACCTGTCATTTGTTCGACAGTCTCCCTCTTTGACCAACCACCTCCCCCGTCCTCCCCCCGTGCTTGCCCCGTCGTCCGCCGCAACTCAACCCCACGACCAAGGTTTGCCGTCCTCTGCTGCGCTGCGGTCCCCGCTCGGTCTGCTCGGGCGAGGCGTCGAATCTATCGGCGCCCAAACAAACTTTCCACTAATCTGGCCGCCTATTTGGCCGCCTGTTTGGCCGGACAGTCTCCGCGCTGTTGCTGCTGGTGCTGCTGATTGCGGTGGATTCATCCCCGCCCTCGACTCCCCCTCCCCCGTCCCTCTGCTCCGAGCAGCAGCAGCGGCGGCGGCAGCAGCAGCAGCAGCAGCTGGCGGGTAGTGCCGCCCGGGCTTCTCTGCCCCGGAACGCGCTGAGCTGTTGTGCTTGTGCCGTGGCCGGGTATGCCGTGACGCCAGCCAGGGAATCTCTCTGACGGCCCGGCCCGCCACGCGGGGGCGAGCAGGCGAGAACAGACGGCCAGGCGGTGGTCGTGATGACTTGGACACCCTGGCTGTACCCTCCCCTCCCCCTCTATCTCCATGTCTCTCACCCCCATCCTCCAACTTGCGAGCGCTCTGCCACCTCAGTTTACTGTTGTGTTTCTCATTGCATGAGTCAATGGCAGGACGCGCTCCTCCTCCAACACCAACAGGAACCGGGACCAGCACCAGTACAGCCCAGCGCGACCCAAAGCTTCACTCACCCCCTCCCCCCTTCTCTCCTTCTCGCCCCATACCAACGTCGCTGTCTCTCTGCCGGCCTGGCAGGAAGGCGAGGCAAGTAGGGCAGCAGGGATTTGTTTAATGTTTCAGAAGGCTAAGCGTCGCGCCGGCCCGGCTAGCGTGCTGCTGCGGGAGGGCAGGGACTCGGCGGCTGAACTTTAAACTACATTCCCATTTCAAATCAGCTTTGCGAAAGGTCAGCAAGGCGGCAGCGGGGGGGCCTGCTGGCCGCTCTCCCATACTACTCCCCCTTCTCTCCCTTCTCCCCCAACTGTATCTATCCCCTCCCTCCTCCTCCTCTCTCTTGGGGGCGCTACCAATCGACCCTTTCTTATTCCATTGGGCTGCAGGGCTTGGGGAGCTCTCACCCTCCGCTCCGCCCTCGGCCCTCGCCCCCGCTCTCCGCTCTCCCGCTTGACGGACGGCCCCTACCCCCTACCCGCCCCGCCGCACGCCGAGCACCTGCTTGAGGTGGACGTGGACGTCCCCTACCGTCCCACCCCATCCTCTCTCCGGTAAAGGATTGCCGGACCTGCTCGCCTCGCTCTCGCTTTGTGACAAAGGTTACCGGGG